CCTTACAGAGCTACAGATACCTCTGAGACCCAAATGAAGATGGTGAGTTAAGCATTTGGATATACAGTTCTCAAGCTCCAGGAGGAGGTTTGGGCTGGGTATATGCATTGGAGCTACTGACATATAATCATTAAAGCCATGGACATGGGTAAGGGCGGGTGATGAGACAGTATTGAATATGGAGGTAAAAAGAATAAGCCTGATCCCTGGGGAATGCCAAACTTAAATAACTGAATAAAATGGTGCATCGACAAAGGCGGATAATAAGAAAATCTGCTCTTAAATGAGCAGCCATTTTGATTTATTTCAGCTTACTGGCACGCCCCAGGCTCTACAGTTTTTTTAGTTTGTTTTTGCCTCTTTATTGCTTGGTTTGCCATTGTTGGAATTCAGCCCCCAAATTGAATGCTAAGAGAATATTTTTAATCTCTCTTGATATCTTCATAATTTCAAAGAAAAATGTCTTCTGATGCTTTTTATTCAAGGAGGGATAGGAACTCTTAAGTGCAATAGTTGCAATCATTGGCTGGTTTTGGTTTTCGGTTTGTTTGTTTTTGGTGTTTTTGTTTGTTTTTGTTTTTGTTTTTGTTTTTTGTTTGTTTTCTGACATATAGCCCCATTTTCTTGAGAAGGGATTGGTTTGTTTGTTTTTCGGTGTTTTTGTTTTTGTTTTTTGTTTGTTTTCTGACATATAGCCCCATTTTCTTGAGAAGGGATGTTTTCTATAATTTCCATGAATTTCTTTCCCATTCAGAACAAATTACATTGAACCTGGCGAGAATTTATCAAATTCTGTGTTATAAATTTAGAACTTTTTCAGCATTGTTTGTGTTTTGTTTTCTTCTTTTTCTCCATTTCTGTTAATTTTCATAATTTTTATTTTTATTTTAAAATAAAATAATAATAAATTAATGCCACCATCCTCCCCAAATGTAAAGTATTTCACTTTTGGTGATAAAGAATTTGAGATGACTGTGGGACATGAAGGTAAAGAAATCTACTAGTCTAATGGGACCTGTAGATCTAGAATGTAGGCAAGAAATTTGAGGGCTATGGATTTATAGAATTCCTGAGCTCCAAGTAGTAATTGGTATTTCTGTAGTTGGAAACTGTTAGTGGTTTGACTTAGTAGAATCACCACATATTTCCATCTCTTCTATCTGAACTTGTACAACTGTATAGGTTGGAGTTAAAGGAAACCCAACAAAACTTATAAATGTCTAAGTTAAAAAAGTATTCAAATTCAAGTTATAGAGCCCAAATAACAACCACCCTATTTGGGAAAAAAATGATGTTGTGAGATAAATATTAAAAATAAAACTCTGAAAACACGTTAAATTCATATGTGATACACTTTGAGACATGTTTTGTTATCACAGTTTATTCAACCATGAAAAATCTATTGCTTTCCCTTTTTATCCATAACACTACCTTGACATTTTTAAGGGCATAGATAGTGATAATTAGTGTCATATTGCCTTTGTGGGTGATGTTGCCAATAGCTTTTCATTTATAAGGTGTATATACATGATGGAAGATACATGTTGTACCTTTTAAACAAAGGGCAAACAAAAAATACCACAACACCTTACTTTTCACTATTGGAAATAAAATAAATCTAATATGTTCAAAGGAATTCCACAAAACAAAACCACTCACATGACAAAAGCGTGCATTTAATTTGATGCTTTGCAGAGATACATGACCAAAGTTGTGTGCATGGATTGTCCTTTGGGATGGTCCCAGCTGTTTATTTCTAAAGAAAAAATAAAAATGGAGCCAACAAATGCAACTTAAAAAAAATCTTGAGACACAAGGAAGATCTCTATGTTCTGGTCTAAGAAACATGCAAGTATTACAAAGCATTCCAGATACAGTTTGACAGAGGAACAGTGAAAAGGCACAGGAACAATGCTTTTTCAGAAATGGGAAGTCTAACAGTTATGTTTTCACAAATGGTATTTGATGAAACCAGCTTTATTTTTAAAGAATTATATAGAAAAAAATTTTAGCACCATCATTAAAGGAATAATAACAATAATACTTTTTAGCTCTAGTGCCTATCTCCAGTCTTGGAATAATAACAGAAGCATAGCACCTTGTAGTATCTAAAATATAAACAAGAATAGTAAGTCCATCCCAGCTTCCAGAGATGAGGTAGCTCATACTAAGAAATGTTGGGTCATTTTTCTTGCGAAAATTCAAAGGCCAAACGGTCTAATTCCAATCATCACATTTGACTAGAGTCAGCTCCACAACTCTGAGTTTCTATATCTTTTTCTCCATTATAGGCTTCAGGATGATGAGATTGTACATGTGAAAGAGTCTCAACTTTGGTTCCTGGACATGTGTTTATCAAGTTGTGTGTGTAAAGTATTTTGCATTCAATGTCTTCTTAAATAAGAAGGTATAAATGTATTCAATGGTATACTCATGTAACTTCTATCTGTAATGATAGATTGAATCGAGAGGGAAAAGATACCTTTAAATTTGAATGAGAAAGAAGTCTAAACTTATCACCCTTTACAAAGATTTAAGACATTGAAGTAATTTCACTTTTTTCTCCTGAAATTCCATTGGATATATATTATTTTAAAATTGCACTTAAGTCAGTGAGAAACTGGCATTTCTAAAAGATTTTCTTTAAAAAGTCTTAATAATATGCAATGTCAAGACATGCACATGGGTTTCAATCACAAAGTTAAACATTTTGATTTCATTTTTAACTGATAATCTGGGAATGAGAGGGGACAAAAGGGTAATACTTTCTATTTCTCAAACTGCAGCCAAGCAAGATAAACACGTGTTGTGGTTTTACATACCCCACTCTTTAAGCTACCCGCCAGGAAGAAGAATTTTCTCATAAATACTAAGCAACTTTTTCATTACACTGAAATAAATTGAAGAAAACGGAGATTTATTTATTTAATCAGTTTACTTTTTTTAAAAGGTGGTCATTGTCGTTGGTCATCTTAACCCTAAACTGCTGTATTGAAAAATATTTTAAATCAATTAAAACTTGAGGATCATAAGTAAAATAAATATTCTGAAGGATAAGGAGGCCAGGCACTTAAGACCATATATACAGTGCTGATGCAGGATCAGCCGTAACTTCAAGAGTCTCAGGATCAACTTCAAACAAAGTTCTTGTGAACGGTGGTGGTCACTGATGGTGGTGCTCATTGTCGATGTATCTTGGCTTACTTTACACAAAACAAACTGGCCCAATTTCTACACCAAATTCCTGGTCTGTGCCGCCAACATCCACAGGGGCAAGATCTATGATGGGCAAGCGTGCCACATTCTGTGTTCTATATTCAAAGACAGTCTTGCCCACATTTCCATTTCGCTTCTGGAATTAAATGGTGCAATGGGTTAATAGTATATAAAAATTTTTCCAAGGATGTTAGAAAACAACCCCCCACCTGCCGCCCCCAGCCAACCTTTAAAATGTAAGAGCAATGATTATTAGAGCACTACTTAGAAGTAAGAGTACTGATAAGGTAAAGTGAGGTACTAGCGTACCTACCACTACATGTGGTAGGTAATTCTTTCATGCATTAAGTAAATAAATTCCCTTTGTTCTTTTGCAGCTTCCCATATGGTCACTGGCAACATAAAGTATGAAAGCTTTTTTTGCTTTTCACAAATGAAACTATAATTCATTGTTCAATATTTTCCTTGCTTTATATCCAAACACGCAAGTGGGAAGACACACAAATCAGTAAAAAATTTAAGGTATCTTAGATTGATAATACATTTTAGAATCAAGAAATTTGAAGCATGGAACTGAAATCTAATGTTATATAACTTGCAGAAGAACCAAGACAGTTTGCAGAAGAGCTGAATCAGATCTTAGGGATCTGATCCTTTCTTACTATTGGGTATTAAAACCTCTACCATGCTTTATGTGCTAACACATGTTCAAGTTTACCCTAAAGAAAACTATAAACAAACTGCTACTGTGCTTATTTACAAGGTAAATTTGCTCCTATTCCTGCTGTCAGGACAGTATTTTTAACAAAAACAATTTTTTTTCAACTAGATCAATGTAGATCAAAAAGTACTTACAGAGCAAGTGTCTTGAAGAACTATGTATCTGAATCTAACATTTCCCTCTGCTTTGATTTCTAAGTCATTTGCCCCTTTGAGAACCACAGCTTTCCTGAGGTTCTTAGCTTGATCATCCATGTATCCTACACTGTTTTTGCAGATGTAAGTAATGTTCTGAGAGGCTTCTTTTGATAAAAGGCGCAAGAAGGTCATCTGAGTAATGGCTGTATTAGCCGACTGGTAGTCTCCATAAGCAAACTAGAAAAACAAAAAGAGTCTTTTTTATATGCAATACTGAGGGGCTTCATAGTGCCTTATATATATAGATAGATAGCTGCAAATTGATTTCAGATCAATCAATTTTGAAGAGTACTACTTAAATTCTTGTCATATAACAAGCTATTCTACCCACACATATAAAAATATCTTAAAATTTCTATGACTATTCACAAATAACAACTTCTGTCCTTACTACCCCAAACGAGAGGTGATAAAACCAACAATAATTTTTAATTCATCAGAGAAAGCTTAAATATTTTAAAATCTGCTTTAATTAAATATTTTTAAATATTTAAATATTTTTAGATCTGTATCAAAAATAACTTATTTTATTGCTAATTATAATAAGAATTAGGAATTAATTATTGGTGTAAAATATTTTCCCCAACTGTTATATACTTGTCTAAAATATGAATTAAAACTTTTCCATTAGCTAACAAAAATAATGAAAAATAAATTCCCACAGGCTATTTCCTATTCATCTTCTACTTTGAGCTTCATTTTTAATGCTCGCATTTGACATTTTTATATAATATTTATTTTGCTAGGTTATAGTTCAACTGTTTATATTTAAATTTTAAAATTTCTTTCTCTGGGCCGGCCCATGGCTCACTCGGGAGAGTGCGGTGCTGATAACACCAAGGCCCCGGGTTTGTATCCCATATAGGGATGGCCGGTTTGCTCACTGGCTGAGTGTGGTGATGACAACACCACGACAAGGGTTAAGATCCCCTTACCGGTCATCTTTAAAAAAAAAAAAAAAAAATTTCTTTCTCATTAAATAATGGTAAATTCTAGCATATCTTGCACACACTCATACTGTTTTCATATTGTTTTTACTCTGAACATGAGTTCTGGGGAAAGGTCAGGAGCAGAGGTGAGAAGCAAATTTCAGAGTTAGGCTGCCATAAAGAGATCTGGAATGAAATAGTCATATTGCAATTGAAAGTGGCAAGTCAGATGAGACCCCAAACACTGGACCATGATAGAATCATAGGGTAGACTGGGACTCAGAAAAATATTAATAGAATACATATAATTACAAAAATGCCTTAAGTTTAAATAATACTACAAAGTTTACAAAATGAATCAATTATTAAAATTTTTACTATGGTAATTATCTGATGCTTATTTATCACTTACCATATATTAGACACTACACTAAGCACTTTATTTTATTTTATTTTTGTCTTTTTGTCTTTTTTCCGTGTCCGGCAACGGATTGCAACCCTCAGTGTTGCCCCCGTACTGGACCGGGGACCGGCAACGGGATTGCAACCCTCGGTGTTGCTCCCGCGCCTCGCTTAGCCAGTGAGCGGGAACCGGTCTGTATGTGGGATCCGAACCCTCGGGCGGGAGCGCCGCCGCGCTTCCCAAGCGGCGCGCTATCCGGTGCACCGCCGGGCCGGCCCCTACACTAAGCACTTTATATCCATACAAAGACTATGGGATAAATATTACCACCCTCACTTTAAACTGGCAAAACAGGGGCTCCAGAAAGTTTAGTGACTTCATAAGGGCCCAAAGTCAATAAGA